CTTAACAGCAACCCAGTAAACCGATGATAATGCCATAGCCTACGCAGGTTATGCAGGATTTTCATGACAAAAATATTAACCTGTCTTCCCCAACGATTTGTGTATCACCCCAAATCCGGAAGAATGTGCGAGCGTCCTGGTAGGAGCCAATAGTCGGAAACTTGGCAAGCCTGTCTTTGTCAGCAACTACAAAGACCTTTGTGTAGAGTTTAGGTTCCACAGTTGCACATACATCTAGAGCAGTTCGGTAATTCGTACTGTAAAGATGTCAGGACGACAACTCTGCACCGGATTTTCGTGACCAGGCGGAGGCCACAGACTTGTGTTCAGGACTCAGACCCTTACCTCAACCAGTTGCTTAAAGACAATCGAACACGAAACCATTCTTGAAAACCCGAACCCAAAATCAATTCCCTAGACTTGAAACTGTACATCGGTGGGGTAGTGTTGCAAGTAACATCCTGGTCAGCAAGGGTCATCAGGGAGAGGCTGTATGAACGATTCAGATGTGTGTGCACGTACAAGCATGTAGAGAAAAAGAAGCTCATGTGAAAGCAAGTGCTTCAGCATCTGCAGGAGAGCAGAATCCTAAACCCAAAACCTTGGAAACCAACTTGAAACCAAAGTTATCTAGGGCCACAGACACCGTCCAATCATTTTGGGTCCAAACAATATATTCAACCTAAAGACTCCTAAAACTTACAGGTTAAAAGGCCAAGCCCCAGGAGCGCCAAACATTTAGGGGTTTAGGGTTTAGGGTTTAAGTCTGCAAACACCAACTGCGGGTTTCTGAAATTCGGGCTTAGGGTTTTTGAAGGTTCTTATAGTACTTAAACCCATTTTCGGTATTAAAATGGTTTCCCATGTATGGAAACTCCCACGTCTGAACCATGCAAGCATGCAACAGCCCACCACCAAACCGAGCTCCCAGACCTTCCCCCAAAAACCTCTCAATTGCGCAACTACATGAAGGTTTCCCAAAGTGGCGGGTACCTCTTTGGGAGTCTCTATATTAAGTATTTGTATGAATATGTATACACATATATATATACATATAAGGGTCTATATTGGGGCTCCCCTACTTAGAGAAACTGCCACATGGTAGCGTGAACATAACGCGGTTTAGGTTAGGATTTAGGGCTATATGAGCTATAGTCTAAACTCCTAGTATCCCCGTTAATATCCCTTATAGTAGTCCCCTATATAGTCCCTTATAGAACCCCCCTTTAAGGAGTATAGACTGTAGCTCATATTGGCCCGCTCTACGTTCTCTGATCTCACGTGTTTTCGGATGCACCGCAGCTTAAGGCTGGACTCCGAGCCAATCCACTGACAACTGCAAATGAAGAGAATTTTCAAGGAATGGTATAACCCTAAACCCTAAATAGGGTTTAGGGTTTAGGGTGTTGAATGTTCGAGGGTTCAGGTTTGGGGTTCAGGGTGATCATGGTGTTTGGGGTTTAGGGCTTGCAAAGGGGTCTACCACAAATTCTAGAGGGCCGGCCAAGAAAGATGTGGGTGTTACTGCGGGTCGGGGGTGCAAAGTTAGGGGAGCCCATTTGAATCTGCAGTTTAGGGTCTCGGGGTCTTAGGGTTTGGGGTTTAGGGGGTTTAGGGGTTTAATGTCTGGGGTCTAGGGTCTAGGGCCCCAAACCTTCAACCCAAAACCCATCTTGTAAAATATTGACATCCAAGAGCTACGACAAACAGTCTAAAAGCCTTGAACAACGAAACCATGACTGGCAAAATCCAAAACCGAAACGCGACAACCCGAGCCAACAAAAACTCCTGAAGTGCTCAATACTACCCCGCTCAAAGGCAAGCCCCAGCACAACTCATACCACCCTAAAACCTTTGAGCCCAAAAACATACATCGTGAACTTCCCATCAGGAAAAATCTACACAGATCATACCACTACTACAAGGTGGGGAGTCCACCTAGATCAGACCACTAAAGCCAAAGTCTCCGAGTCCCTGAACCCTGCGCCAAAATCCTTAGCTTTGGAACCCGCATCCCTGAAGTCACCAACTTTTTGGTGTTTAGAGTTTAGGGTTTAGGGGGTATAGACTCTGAACCCTAAGCCCTAAAGCCTGCAGACGGCAATTGCCATTTTCTGTTCCATTCCCCCTTAAGCAGCTGGACTCTGAAAGCCGAAGCTGTAAACCCTAGGGTTTAGGGTTTAGGGTTTAGGGTTAGACTTCTCTGAGACCGGAACCAAGGGTAGCTGCCAGGAGCTCTAAGCGCTGCGCCAAGACAGACGGACTGGGATCTACCTGGGAGGAAAGTGTAACAGTCTGAGGCTTCCAGATAAACAAGATGTAGAGTTTGCAGGTTTGGGTTATAGTCCTTCTTAAGTAGGTAGAATATTGGGTATATGGGGATCTTACTATAACATACCCACAGCCATATTCTATCTACTTAAGGGGGACTATAAGTATGTGAGGATACTTGGGGGCTTAGACTTTTAGGGTGTTGGAGTTGGTGGCTTGATGTTTGAAAACTTCTCCAGCCTTAAGTATCAAGGATCATGAGCGGATGCTCTAGGTTCCTCATTCTTTTCCAAGTAATTTTCTCAGTTGAGGGTTAAGAAGGATTAAGGGTTTAGGGCATGTTGAAATCAGTAGACTCTCTTTTTTGAGGAAGCTCCCCAATCATGGGAGAATCAAATAGAACAAATGGGAGCATCAAATGGAACAGAGAGTGGAAAACAAAACTGTAAGTGGGGCTATGGTCTGGGCCAATGGGGATAACTACGTAAACCTTAAACCCTAAATCTCACCAGGTTTCTGAACTGGACGAACACTCGCAGTGGCTCCACCAGTGACATGCTGGGTTGCTGTTAAGCAAATTACATTAAGTTACCATACTGGGTGTGTACATATGCTTATATACATACATATATATATAATAATTAATCGGGTTCCCCGATGTAGTAACTTGAATTAAGTTCCTTAAGAGCAACCCAGCAAGACACTATCCAGGAAGCAACAGGTCTTGCAGAAATACCACGCCTAGAGGCTCGAGCTTCCTGGGTTGGGGGTTTAAGGTTTAGGGGTTAAGGCTTAGGGTTTAAGAGGTTTAGGGCTTGGGTTTAGGGTTTAGGTCCTGAATGTACTGCTGCATTGTTACTGATAAGACATTTGAATGCTTTCTTTTGCCGTTAACGGCCTAGGAGGGTGTAGGGTTTATCAGACCGCTTGCGAACGCGGAGCTTTACTGCTTTGTTCCTAGTATCCCCCTTAATACCGGAATTCAGCAGCCGCACACAAAACCCTGGATCGCGCAAGATCCCTTTTCCTACCCTGGCCAGGCCTGATCCAAAAGGCTGCGCGGCAATGCGCTTCACATCTCCTTGCGAGGGCTGTTTTAAAGGACGTTTTCAGTCCCGCCCCCTTTGGAAAAACAGACACTAAGACGAGTCAGACTTTTGGCTCCTTCGCCAAGCAGCCTTCTTCAGGGCCGCAAGCTTACGGAGCTCTTGGGCGGCTTCATTGTCTGCCAAGGCCCATTCCTTCGGAGATGACCCTGCAAAGGACCTTGTTGTGGCCCCATTTGGTGAGCCCATCCCCAGCCATCTCGGATCCAGGGACCCACCTCACGAAGCACCCCACATCTTCTTCCAGCACGGCTTGTCGTAGCACTGCCACATCCACAGCGATCTTCCGGTCACTCGGAAGAGTTTCACTCGAGATGGCATCATAGCCCGTCTTGGCATCAGTTGCCAGCACATGGCGCCACTGTGCCGCGTGGCCCTTCCAATGCTGGATCTGGAAACGATCATCCAGCAGTTCAGCCAACACGGCCCTCACGAAGTCCCCGTGCTCATAGGCAGTGGCCAAAGCAGAGATCTCAGCAGACATTGAGCACCTCACGACCCTATGAATCTTCGTGCTGTTCCCTTCCAGGATGCACACTGGAGCTCGCCCTTGAAGCACCCCCGGGTTCGCCAACATGACCAAGTTGCCACCTTGGCTATGTCCCCCCGGCATCGCACCATATGCCGCATCACTCACGGAGATCAGCACCAGGTCCTCCAGGGGGCATCCCAGATTGCGCACTTTGAAGGTCACAGGTTCCTGACGCCAGCTCCTGAACCAAGGAGGCCACGTAGGACAAGTCGTAGCGGCCCTGTCTGGCAGCCCAATTGAGCTGGCCCACAATCGAGCTGATCAACTTCTTCTCCGCATCGGTGAGGACCTCCCCAGGGTTGGACTGCTTATCCACGCAGTCCTGCAGGTAGTCCACAGGTCGGAGTCCTGGAGAATTGGCTCATCGAGCCAGCTGTCCCTCCCCACCTCTGCCATGGCAAGCGCACCGGGACTCGAAGTCGATGTCCAGGACGGCACCGAAGAAGTCGGTAAGGAGCCACCCAAACTTGCCGATGGAAGTCGCCGAGGTCGATGCCGTAGACGCCGCGGAGGAGGTAGCTCAGGTACGAGCCAAAGGGATGTCTTTGGTGTACGCCTCCATTGAGTACTCCATCTCCATAGTATTGGGGTCTTGTCGCTCCCAACGGCCACAAAACTTGACCCAACCCTCCGTGGCCTTGCGCTGCTTCCCAAACTTGAGCCGTGCCTGTCGTTGATCCCAGATCTCCTTCGCAGTGTCATCGCCAGCGTACCTGGTGTCATCGACATGAATGCTTGCCAGAGCTCGAACGCGACGGCGGGGAGGCGGATGAAAAGCTCTGAAGACGCCGGGGAGCAAGCTCATCTCCAGCAGGCCGAGGTCCTGAATGGTGTCCTTGTACTCCAGGTACCAAAGCCTCGGACTTTCCGGCAAACCAAAGCCTCCTTTGGTCAACTCCACCAGGTCGTCACGCATGTCCTCGCCGAGCTCGGAGGCCAGGAAGTCCGTCACCTCCGTAGGATATCCACGCGGCACCTTGACATAGATCCTCTCCTTGCGGGGGAGCTCCTTCCCTTGGAGGAATGCAGCACTCACGTCCTCGTAGTGGACCTCCCATTTTTCCTGCACCGCCACGAAGTTGATGAGGTTATGCCCCAAGATGCTCGCCGTCGGGGAGGACGTGTCGTAGAGGCCAGCGTCTGGATCGCGATGTCCACCGAAGATCCACCTCGCCTTCAACTCGGCCTCGGAGAGCTTGGTGGTCAGGACGAAACGGGACCCCAGCACGCGTGCTGGATCCACCATTTGGCCCTTCGGAACACCCTTGATGCCGTTGTGCTCAAGGTACACCCCAATGGCCTTCTTGAGGGGTTCCACGTAGCTTCGCCGCCACTCGTCGTCCAGTTTGGACCACTACTACTCTGCCCGAGCTCGCCCTGTCACCACCTCCGTCACGCCCTCCATCTCGGCACGGTGGAGCGTGGCACTCACCTCGTAGATCTCATTGACCCCAGACCACAGAGATGAGCCGAACCACAAAGTCCACTGGCCGATCGTGTCGTTCACCAAGGCCTCGAACTCACCCGGCTTGAAGTAGGGGATCGCCACATCCGCAGCCGTAGCCAGAACCTCCACACTCGCAGCCTGGGATGCACGGCTTCCACCTTGGCCCCGGGCCTGTCGACCCTTCTTGGAGTCGGTCTTGTCCTGGCGTCGGATGACTCGTCGAACTGAACACACCTTGGCATAGGCTTGCTCCATCCGGTTCCGCAGCTCCCCTCTTGTAACTTGGTCGGGGCCCCAAACGTCTTCGACAAAGCCTCGAACATCCGCTGCTTCTTGGCGAAGTCCAAGGCGTGGGGGTCCATGGCCGCCTCTTCCTCGCGCTTGCGTCTCTCCGCCAAAGTGCGCTCGCTGCACCGAGAAGGGGACGTCCTCCAACAACTTTGCCCGCCGCTCCTTGGCCTCCGCTTCCTCATCGTCATCGGAGGACTCCTGCTCGCTGGTGTCCGTCTCGTGGTCACCCTCCGGCTCCTCAAAGTCGACGATGACCTTCCGCCTCTTGGGTTGCGACGGTCCAGCCGAACTTTGAGCCGTTGGATCACTCGGTCCCGCTTCGGTCGCTTCCTCCGTGGTCACGTTACCCTTGGAGAGCTCGGCTTCCACATCCTTGAGGGCGTCCGTGATGAACTGCGAGCTCGTCATCTCGTCTGGCGTGGCCAACCGAACCTTCTCAAGGGGAAAGGCCTTGACTCGGCCCCGAATTCGGATCCACAATCTCCGCGGCACCGAATTGTCCCGCTCCACGCACACCACCACCCCTGGTCCTGTCCAGCTCGAATTGTCTTGAAGGCGTCGAGCTAATCCCCGGCGAGACGGCGGCGGCTCGTACACGTACACGGTCGTCCCCTCTTGGATCGCCTCAAGGGTCGGTGGTCGGGACCGCGATGCGAGCGCTTTGCGTAAAGCAGTATGGGCATCAAGCCAATGAAAGGCTGAGATCGCCCCAGCCCTGATCCTTTCGGCCCGGGCAAGCGCATCATTGTGGGTCAACTCCTCATTGAAGCGGAACCGGACGCGGCCACTCGCCAGCTGTTCCATCAAGGAGCTTGGGAGCATGGTATTTCTCCCCGTGACAGCTTGCAACGGAGAGACTCCGCCGCGATTAAAGGTCCTGTTTTTTGCGGCAAAGGCAGCCAACGCTGCCCTCCTCATCTCTTCCAGGCCCTTGAGGTCCATCTCCTTGACCATCCGCATCATCATCAGCTTGGCGACCGATCCATGCCGTTCTACCTGCCCCAGCCTCCACTTTGCTCCCTCCGGGACAACCTCGTGAACCACCGCAAACATGTCATTCAGTGTCTGGATGGCACCTTGGAATTCCGGCCCACCAGCGGTAATGAGGAGGTCTGGCGGGCCAAAAACTGCACACCACAAGTCCTGGAGCACTTCCTTCGCAAAGCCGGAGGCCGCCGTGTCCGTGAGGTCTCCGACGTGGTAGTCTGTGAGCCCGTCGATGGAGTGGGTCACCAAGAACTTCTTGTTGGCGGCGTCCCACACATAGAAGGAGTCTCCAGAGATGCGCTCATTGAACTGCTTGGGCTTTTGGTAGGCCACCTGCGGCGTGGTTCCCGGCGGTCGCACCATGGCACAAACCTGGCATTGCAGCTGCCGAGCAAGTTGCACCACGTTATTCTGTGCCCCACTCAGAATGAACATCCTTGCCAGGCGGTCATTCGAAAGATGACCCAAAAGGCAACGTGTAGGTGGGCCACCATTGCTCTCAACCTCCGGGGTTGCTGGGCCACCTCGCCGTCGAAGGTCACGTAGTCATAGCGCTCCCCAGTGGTGGCATTCTGGGCCATCTGCTGCCTAAGGGTCTCCTCCGGAAACGAGGCGCTGCTCACGGGCACTGTCTCCCAACAGTCGCCAGAAGTTGAAGCCACCAAGGACCAGGAAGAAGTAGGAGGTGGCACCGTGCGGCTCTTCAATGACGCAGTGGCCGCCTCCAGGATGCGATTGCAAAGCTTCTCCGGCCACGCTGCAGCCGTCTCGGAGCGCCGGAGTGTCTGGCCATTGACCCGGCAAGAACCCTCGATTTGCTGGTGTTCGCCCGGCCCATGTGTGCAATAAGCACCGTGCAGAAGCCGACGGCCATCACAGAGCAGTTCACATCCAGAGAGGTCAGCTTCACGTATGGCTTCCCATTCTCGAGGTCCTTGAGGCCAAAAGCGCACTGAGCCACCACTGCCTTCACTACATCCTCCCTGGATGTCATGTAGCGCAACTTCAAGGCTTCAGAGCGAGCCGGTTGTTCCAACAGCACCAGCCGGCCTCCATCACACTGTCGCTGCCACACTTCCCCCGCCAGCTTCCAGAAAGGCAAGCGCTGGCGCCGCCTTTCCCAGAGCCCTTCAATGTCCTGACACAGCTGCGTCCATGAACTCCAGGGCCCGCACGGTGGAGATAGCGTGACCAAGTCAGGCGCCTCCTTGTCGATCAGGTCCAACAGCTCCTTCCGCTTGCCCTCCTTTTGCAAGTCCCAGCCACTCAGCACATCAATGGGCTCCAAGGCTGTCCACAGAGGATGTTGTCTGGCCTGCTCGGTCAAGCGCGCCTTGCCCGCAAACACCTCGAGCAACACCCACTTGCCATCATCCTTGTTGGCACAGTCGAACACCTTCAGGGTAGCCAAGGCCGACTTGACCCCGACCTTCAGCTTCTGGATCTCGCCCCGGTTGAGGTGCCTCATCTTCACATGAGGCGTATCATTTCTGGGGCCTGGAGCTTCTGGCGCATCGACCCGAAATGGCCGAACAATGCCGCCACTTCCTTCCCCAGCATCATGTTCAGCCAGCGGGGGTTCCTCTTCCACCTCCGATCGCCCTCCTTTTCGATGGCGTACTTGATGCGTACCATCCACACCAACTTCTTCCAGCACCAAGTTCTCATCCTGTTGGTAGTCGATGCTGCGATGTTGAGGCCCAGCTCGTAGCTCCAGGCATTGCTGAGGGAAGGGTAATCTGCCCGCAACCCGGTCAAGGCTTTCACCTCCTGGGCCTTGGCTTTGCTGGCTGCCTGCTTCTCGCGGCGCTTGCCGATGATCGCTGCTTCCTCGGGGGTCAGGCCAGGAATGTCCGGAGTTGCCGCCGACGAGGATGCCTTTGTCTCCAGGGCCGTGGCTGGTCGCCGCCCCCGATCCCGGGTCTTGGCTGCACTCTTCCTGGCGCGGTTCACTTCCTCGCCCCCGTCCTGTTCCATCTCCGCCGAATACGTCATCACGAAGATCTCGTCGTCCGAATCCACCTGAGGGCAGTCCCGGGTGCGATGCTCGTGGCTCTTGCAGATTCGGCATAGTGGAGGGTTCGGCACCGAGGACATGATTCGAAAGGGTGCGGTCAGTCAAGGGGCTTGACATCTGAGCACTGAAAACTTGAGGGTCAACCGCAGCAATGTCAGCACCTGAAGGAAGGCAATAATCTCCAGGCAGCACTGCACATCCAGGCTCACATTCATCAACTGGCACGGTGTAATGTCCACTGTCCCGGCCTACCCCATACCTCTTGACGCCCAGCTTGCGTGCGCTAACACAATGATGCTCACAATCTATCACGGCCCCAATCTGAGTGCAACCCGATCTGGAGAACAGAGGAGGACAGCAACCTTCGACAACGCTGAACCCGTAGACCACCGTTTTGCCAGCGAAAGTGCCCATGAACTCCACCCGGAACCTGCTCCACAAAACCTCACCATCTCCGAACTTAAAGGCCTCCCGCTCCTCAAAGACTCGGCACCACCTGCCCTCCGAACGCCACCTTCGAAGTAAACTGTTAGTCCATTCGAGGCCTGCCACCGAACGCATGCACCCTATGTCCAATATCACCTTAAGTTGACCCAGAACGGCACATGGACAACAGAAGATCCCACTCACTCTCGCCCGCCGGGATCTCGTCAATCGCCTCCAGTCTGCCACCGCCGCTGCGAACTGCCAGCACCGGAGTCGCCGAGGCATTGCCCTTGTTCACTCCCAAGGTCCCGTTGGCCCGGTTCGGGCACTCCCGAGACCAATGTCCGAATTGGCCGCAGGCGTGGCAGGGGTTGGTCTTCATCTGCTCCGCCAGGGCCTTCTTGCGCTCCTCGGGATCGGGCTTGCGATAATACTGCCGGAGCTTCTTGACCTCTGCAATCTTCTGCTTGGCCCGGTACTGGATGCCATAGGCCTCGTTCACGGCGGCCTCCAGCTCGGGCGGGTAGTCCTCCTCATCGAGCGACTCCTCGCCATACTCCTCCGAGTCCGCGCCGGTCTCGCTGTCCAGCTCGGAAGCTTGTTTGCCGCCAATCTCCCGCGAACTTCTCCTCGTTGCAGAAGCCACTCCTCTCCATTCTTTGCCGCATTCGGCTCCGAAGCACCTATTGGGTAACCCTGCTCGCCCTCCAACTCGCAGGCCAGCTCGATGAGAGCATTGGTCACCAGGTACTCGTCCGTCTCGCTGCCTGCTTTCGTTTTGACCATGGCACGGTCCCGCCGGGTCAAGTGAGCATGGTCCACTAGGTGCCCGACGTAGAAGGCCTCACCCATGGCCATGCTGCTGTCCAAGCCCAAAAGATGGGTCCGGTACATGGACGCCCTTGTCACGTAGGACTCCATCGACTCACCAGGGGCCCTGTTCAAGTGCATGAGCCTGCGGCGATGCTCATCCACCCTGTGTTTGTCCAGCTGCTTGATCAAAGGCGATCGCTCCAGCGCCTTGAGGATCACCTCCTTGCCCTCGGGCCCGTTGACATCGTGGTTGGCAAGATGCTTCACCAACTGGCCGGCACGCTCCTTCAGCTGCACCACCATGCGAGGTCCTACCAATTCGGGAGGAAGCTGCCCACCTTCACCACCTATCCAGAACTCAGCACTTCGCTTCCACTCCAAGTAACTTTCCTGAGGTCGAGCTTTGAACACCGGGGGGTAAGTACTGGAAACCTTCCCTCCCTTCTTCTCCGGGACCTCACCCACGATCTTCACCTGGCCGTCGTCGCCCTCGCCAGCCGAAGCCGCCGAAGAAGCCCTGGAAGTCTCGCCCTCGCCCAGGTCGACGTAGGATGCCTCCCAGCTTTTCTACTCCACGGCCTTCGCCTGAAGCAGAGCCACTGCTGATGCCTCCTGTGGCTGCGCTCCCCGGGCGCGACCACCGACGGCCTCTTGTCTGCCCACTGGACATTGCCGAGTCACCCGACAACGACTCCTCAATGTCCACTGTCTCCCCGAAGGCGTCGTAGTAGGAGCCCTCCATCAGGCCCTAGCCAAGGTATCCTGACTCAAGCCTTCCACCGAAAGGTCTCGGGCACAGACTTGCCCGCACTCTCCAAAGTCTTGGCTCGCCCACCAAGTCTCGTTCACAAAATCCAGAATCAAGTAAAAGCACACGAACCCGGCTCGCCCGCCAGATGCCCTACACGTAACCCAGAATCAACGTGAACTCCCTGGATCGAAAACCGAGGCTCCGCTGCCACCGGAATTCAGCAGCCGCACACAAAACCCTGGATCGCGCAAGATCCCTTTTCCTACCCTGGCCAGGCCTGATACAAAAGGCTGCGCGGCAATGCGCTTCACATCTCCTTGCGAGGGCTGTTTTAAAGGACGTTTTCAGTTTAATAAGCCCTGCAATACTCCCCATTATAATCCCCTACAACCCCCTTTAAGGAGTGTAGCGGGGAGACATTGTTGAAAGCTGACACTTGCACATCGAGAGTTTGTAGAATTGTCGTTGGGGAATTGCTTCATCAAGATTTTATTGTGAGGGAATCCAAATTGGGGTTTCCAAAAATCAGGAAGCCCTTTCGAGCGCCAATGAGATTGTAATCTATTGCGGTCTATATTCAGCCCTGTCTTTTGGAAATCACGAAAGCCTGGGAGCGTGTGGGGCTACAGCAACACTCCGTAGAAATCGTCACTAAGTGATCTGCGCCATGGAAACCTTCGACACCCAAACTTAAATCCATTGATCAGAAACATGAAAGCCCCAAAACTCCTCTCAAAACTCAGCACCGCTTAACACTGTTTATTCCTTACACCGTACCAGACCCCTGCAATCCTGAAGAACATTTCCGCAGAGTTCACGTCCAAGCTCCCAACTCCTGCTGTGGTTGTCCGAACCTGGGTTTAGGGTTTAGGGTTTAGGGTTTAGGGTAGAAGTTACCACATTATGGGCGTACAGTAAAAAATAGGGTTTCCTTCTTATCGAAACGCAAATCTAAGGTTAAAACCATGGGCCCCTCATATGGGCCCTTAACCCTGGGAAGCTTATATACTTGCTATATGCCCTATATGTACCTTTTAAAGGTCCCTAGAATCCCCTGAAAGGCTTACGGGCCCATATTAGGGGCCCATACTTGTAACCATAGAGCAAATCAAACCCTAAACCCCTAAACCCTAACAGCAACCCAGGAACATGCTGGCAAGCTCGGATCCCTTTGATACGGGAGGCAGCGATCAGACTGTGCCTGCAAGGCTGCATCAAAGCGCAAAAAGGTTTGGGGTTTAGGGTCTACAAAGGGGATGGTCCGTGCAAGGGGAGATCCTGTACGGGTTTCCATGTCAGTTTGGGATAGAATAGATATGGAGGCGTCTTATGGGCCATAGTCGAAACTGCTAGTATCTCCCAACATACCCCCTATTGTTGTCCCCTGTATAATCCTGCATATAACCCCCTTTAAGGAGTTTGAATTACGGCTGTTAGGGGCCTTCGATCTTCATAAGAGAAAAGCTTCATCCCTACATAATATATTGCCTTATTCCCTACGAAGAACCAGTAAGATGCAAGGGGCGAACACAAGGGCCCTAATTACAAGTAACTGAGGCTGCGGTCCTTAAAGCCAATGCGGGGAGCTCTCAAAATGATGATCCCTAAACCCTAAACCCTAAACCCTAAATTGTGTATCCTAAGTGTTAGGGGCTGCATCATCATTGGACCCAGAAGGGACATCAGCCTAAACCCTCAATCCCGCAACGTGGGGCTTTCTTGTTAGGGAAGATGTCCGTCAGCCGAGGCTCACGGCGACCACACAACTTGGGGTTTATGTTGGGTACTGCCCACCCTCAGTAACAGTTGGATAACAAATACAATATGGTTATATATAGCCCTTATTATGACCCCTAATATAGACTGTTACTGGGGAGGAGGGGGGGGGGCAGTACCCACGTTTACGGTCTAGGGTTCAGGTTTTCGGGTCCAAGGTGGAGGGTAGATGCTGACCTTTAGAGTTGCTTGCGATTTGAAGAGCCTCTCGGATGACTGAATGTCCTGCCAATTTCTTTGCTGCCACGATTCCTACAAATCACTTGCAACCCTGAGCCCTGAACCCCAAACCCTAAAACCTGAACCCAGAACCCCAAACCCTAAACCCCAAACCCCCAAACCCTAAACCCTTAACCCTTAACCCTAAAACCCTAAGCGCTAGACCCTAAACCCGAACTGCAGTGGTGCTCAAGACCCCTCTTACGAGGCCGGGATGAAGCCGCCCCAATGGTGGTTTCTGAAGATGGGGCCACCGTGAGACCCCAGGAAATCCTAGGGGTGTATGGGGTCACTAGGGTTTAGGGTTTTAGGGTCATCAGGAAGGTACAGAGCGACCACATTAATGTATCTAAAAGCTGCCAAAAAAGTCGCAAGAACATCTGAGAAAGGTTCTCCTAAACTCATTGATCCTCCCGTCCAAACGATTCAATTGCGAATGAAAGCTCGATGGCGGGGCTGAAGCTGGGTCCGTGTGGACAAATGTCAGAATGGGGGTTTCCCAAAATTAGGGGTACCCTTTTTGGAGGTCCCCATATTAAGGATTATAGTATATTGGGGTTTATAATGGGGTCCCCCTATTTTGGGAAAGTGCCAAATTGTGATCCTTTTCCGGGCCCCTAAATCTTGCGTCCATCGTTTGCTGTTGTCTGCGCTTTCTCACTGCTCTCCAAGGTTATCATCGCATCGTCTAGTAGCGCGGCAGGGGGGAAGCGGGGAGTACTACGTACTTTGTGAGCATTCCATTCTCATTCGCACAAATGTTTGGATACTTACCTTTGGTAAACTAGGAATGAATGAATGAATGAATGGATCCATGTAGTCGAATAGTACTCCCTACAAAACCCATAATGGTAGCTTACTTTGCATGTTTTTCTCCACTCCTTCCCAGCTAACCTAAGGTAAGTATATGCAAGTATAGCCATATGGGGCACCCTAAACCCTACACCCGAAACCCCGAAACCCTAAACCCCATAACCCTATGGGGCAAAATCGAGGAACCTCAGCATCCCAAGCTTTTGCAGCCATTCATGATGCGCCTTTCCGAATGAATCGTGCTTACACAACCCTTAAACATCTCCATCCTGCAGAACTGTCTTAACCTGAGTAATGTTTTTTTGGTGGTTGAACCTAATAAGGTTACGTTGCTTATATAAAATATTGTACCCAAAAGGAGGATAGATTCTTACTCGATATTGGGTACCATAATACCCCCAAATAAATACTACTCACCTGGAGTTACCACCGGTGATCCGCCCCATTAATTATTCAACATTGCCTACATAAGGACCGTCTACCTCATTGATACGTGATAGTTTCCCAAAATAAGGGGACCCCAATGTCGTCAACGCCATAGTACTATAGTCCTTGTTATACGGACCCCCAAACAGGTACCCCTAATTTTGGGAAACCCGCATTTTCATCATGGAAGGTGTGTTTAAAATTTTGGGGAAGGCAACAATAGCTCGTGATACTGACATTCTGGGTCGCGAAACCTTGAACTGTCAATCCCTGCACCGACTTCTCTTGTGGTCTTTTTCTGCTCTCAAAGTTGTTGGGTAACAAAAAAAGAGGACCACTGTTGTGACAGGGCGTCAAATGGCCGGCCAGAGATGCAATGATGTTTGTACCAAGGATTTCGAATGAATTCGAGTCTCCAACCTGAAAACGGTCACAGATTCTGAGACATTGCCAACTGCGCTGCTCGATTGCAACAATGCTGCTTGCATAAACCAGGTATATCCTACGAATTCCTTCTCCGAATGAAATTTTGCACCCATTATCACTGGACCACGTGTCTACCACCTCCTTTTGCTCTGAGGATAAATGTCCAGGTTCTAAGTGCAAAGAACCACCCAAACGTACACACGCCCAAAACTTCTTAAGAAGCAACACGTGCCGCAAACCTACAAGTCAAAACTGTACCTCAGCTGGAACATTGCAAGAGCCTCAAAGTCCGCCCATGGCCTCAGCAAGCGAGCTGACAAGGGTCCTAGGGAGCGCTTCATTAGCAAACTTATGCTGCTAGAGTTTCGGGTTGGCATGGGGCATGGCGAGCGCACATGCTTGGAAGGGACTGGGTTGGGTGCTTCCCACATTGCAAACAAGTCCCGGCAAAAAGATATTGAACACGCCAAAAAAAAGAACTTAACTGGAGCAGCTTGATCTTGAAGACGAATCTTAAAATGTGGCGGTGGACTTGAAGGCGTGTGGGAACTGTAGCCCCGGACGGCAAATAGACCAACTACCATTTGCAAAAATACAAACACAACGGAAACTTGATTTGAATAAATCTAAAGTACGTGGCATATGGAAATCCGAGGAAACAACGACCCACAAACGTGCACATTATGCTGACTAACCTTAAACATGTCAGAGAAACCCATTTTGGGCGCACAGGAAAAAAAAAACGCCAGGGCTATGATGTTGCCCTTCAGCTGGGTGAACTGCAGATCTGCGCAAATCGCCATGGCGTCAGTGGTCGGATGTCTGAATTTGGGCCAGACTGATGCAAGCGTTTCGGGGCGTGCACCTTCCCGCGGAAATCCTTTTCTCATTGTACGGACCATTCCGGAGTTTCATGGTCATATGAATTCTGCCAAGATCTCACATGAATTTCGCTGCGCAATCAGGTAGTCGGGTTTGATTTGTTTGGAAATTAGATTTTTGCGATATTCTGTAAGAAATTGTGCTCAGAACTGTGAAATGGAGAAGGACGTGCAATCAAAACTTCAGCACCATGTCATGGACCAGCATTTTGTGGTTACAAAATAACCAAAAGGCAAAACCATTATCATCATAAGACGTTCCC